TCCCTACACTCTCGTACAGGTAGGGCTCTTGCAGAGGCCCTTCTACAAATTCTTCGTTATGGGCACCATTGTGTAGGTAGAGGTCTAGGCTGCGGAACTCCAGAAGCTGGCCGAGGCAGCTCGTCAGGAGCCCTCGTACCGCGACAATATTTATTTCTTTCATGACATTGCGAATCACCATGATCCGAAATGAGCCCGGTAAGAAATTCTGGAGCTGCGGCAAGATTTCTTACCTCTCTTAGCGTATTCCCCTGGTCGAGCTATAAATGACTGCCACCTATCCTGGACCTTAAATCATCATCTTGATGACGAAATAATTAGACGATCAACTCCAACTCGAAAGTGAGGTCGCCTCCTTTCTCGACCGCACTCCGCTGGGTTTTGGCAAAAGAGCATCAAGAGATTTTCTGAGCGTTGAAGACAGATAAAGAGTTAGAGGTGTTGAGGAATTCTCTAGGTAATGGTAATTCTCCAGCTCAGAATTCTCCAGGTAACACACAAAATGAATGTAATATGAATTGTTGTTCAGAACACGAACGTCTCACATATGTTGTAATATCTGGTTTAATTGAATGCACAGATCCTAGTGTAATTGCTAGGGTTTCATTCGATTTTGAGCACATTAAGAAAATTTTTCACTTTCTTTCAATTGAATGTTTACCGCCTGTCTTTTATAGAGTGGGAAGGCCTAGCGCCAACCGTTCTAGATTGCTTAAGTGGTCAGTGACGGTCTTTCATCTATTCGGAATGCTCCCTCAGGCGTTCCGCAAGGAAGGGTTTTGTCTCCTCTTCTTTTTGCCATTTATGTGTGTGACTTACCAGGTGTGGTGGCAAGACACGGTATTAGTTGCAAAATGTTTGCTGATGATATCAAAAAATATTGGAAAGGTTGTTGATGATCAGTCCTCCTCCTTCTTGCAGAGTGCCCTAGATGATCTTATATGCTGGTTTCATGATTGGATGCTTCCTTTCTCTCCTGATAAGACTACAATTCTCCACCTTGGTTCGAATAACCCTCGTACTACCTATCTCATGTAGGGAAAGTCTATTGCAGAAGTAGACAGTGTAAAAGATCTAGGCTTTATTGTCGACAACAAGCTCTCGTTTGATGAGCATTGTCGATTTATTGCTAACAGAGCAGAACAACGTCTTTTCTTGTTGTTCAAATCTCTGTGTTCAAATGATCCGTTCGCTTCTTATTCATGCGTATAAGACTTATGTGAGATCTATGCTCGAATACGGCACTAGTGTCTTCTCTCCAAATAAGAAATCTTCGATGTTATTGAGAAAGTGCAATCTAGCTTTACTAGGAAATTGCTTCTCCGTGCATTGGGTTTCACTTACGTATCCCCCGTAGCACTATTAGGAATAGAGTGCTCCAACTTGATTCCTTCCAGCTTAGGCGAAAGAAAAATGATCTCGTAATGGTGCTCATGATACTTCATGGTATGGTAGGTTTGAAGGGTTGATGAGTCTTGATTTAATGTTCGTTCACCAAAGAGGATCCAATCACCAAAATTGATGTGTGATGACTTAACCAGGTGTAAGGGGGGCAAGAACCGGTATTAGTTGCAAATGGTTGCTGATGATATAAAAGATATTGACAAGGTTCACCTGTAATGCACTCAGGTTCTCTTCAGCAGTGCCCTAGAACTGATCTTATATGGGTGGTTGGACATGACTTGGATGTTCTTTTCTCCTGATAGCTAAAATTTCATCCACCTTGGGTTCGAATACCTGCGTGCCTATCAATATTCGATGTAGGGAAAGCTTATGCAGAAGTAGACAGTGTGAAAGATCTAGGCTTTATTGTCGACAACAAGCTATCGTTTGATGAGCATTGTCGTTTCATTGCTAACAGAGCAGAAGAACGTCTTTTCTTATTGTTCAAATCTCTATGTTCTAATGATGCGTCCCCTTCTTATTTAAGGTATAGCTCGAACTACGGCCACGTGGTCTTTCTCGATGTTATTGAGAAAGTGCAATCTAGCTTTACTAGGAAATTGCTTCTCCGTGCATTGGGTTTCACTTATGTATCCCCCGTAGCACTATTAGGAATAGAGTGCTCCAACTTGATTCCCTTCCAGCTTAGGCGAAAGAAAAATGATCTCGTAATGGTGCTCATGATACTTCATGGTATGGTAGGTTTGAAGGTTGATGAGTTCTTTAAATTTAATGTTTCGTCAACAAGAGGTCAATCACTCAAATTATTTCTTCCTCGGCCAAACACCTCCTTAAGATGCAATTTCTTCACTTTTCGGGCCGGGTCTGAGTATTCCAAAATGAGCAAAAAAGTTTCAGTGCCTGGGACTCTAGCTGGTTTCAAGAGATTACTACGGCTCTATTTACGTTTGGTATAGTACAGTTTGTTTTGATGTTTTGTTTCTGTTTTCACTGTTGAGATTTTATATATTATTTTATGCTATATTACATGTTGTTCATGCAATAAAGATAAAGATAAAGATAAAGATAAAGATAAAGAGAAGGTGGTGGACACTCATGGTAGATATATGACCGGTCAGAAGTTGTAAACAAAAAAGATAAAATTAAAATCAAAAATTTGAAAAAAGTGTTGCAGGACTTTCTTTCCAACCTAATATACTACCTTCAACTAGCACTACAACACTCGGCCAATTGATCGATTCCCTCTTCCTAGAAGTAGAAAGCTGGGAATTAAAGTAGTTGTCGAAGTCCTCTTAGTAAGCGCACGATGCGGGGTTAAGGTTCAGAAAACTAGACTGATTACTAACCAGCCTTTGCGAGACAAAAGTGGGCCGTTGACCTAAAAAGCAAGCCAGCCTGAACTGGAGAAGTATGGCTGGCTAGAGTCTCCTCGAGCATCCTACTGCTCCAATCTCGGTCCACGCAACAACATCCTCTTAAGCCACCTTCAGTCTTCCTGTATGTAAATCGAGAGAAAGTGTAAGGTAAGGGTAACACTCAACGATTTCCTCACGCCCCAACTCTCACCTCCCTAGAAGAGAGGATCGGGAAACTGCTCGAGTGCTTGGGCAGAGCGATAGACGGCGTCTTTGCAGACCTGAGACATCTACGCTAGTAGGTTAGTAAGCTATTTGCAAAAGAATAGCGGCGAGAAATTCCTGACCAACCATTTGGAATAGAGGGAGAAAAGATGAAAGAGAAAAACCTTATTGCTTGAAACTCACGTAGCCCTGTATCTCAGCGAAAACTGTAGACCCTTGGCGATCGATAATTGCATCAATTTCCTCAATTACATCGAAGTAAGCTTCATTGTTTGTATACTTCACACCTTGTCGTCGCCATGGTATATTGGACAGCTGGCCAGTTGGGAGCGTTTCGGAATGATTGGTACGACCAGTGACCTAAGTCGAAAATATTAATGAAGCAACGAACTTAGCCACTAATACCTTACCTGATTGGCAATATTTCTAAGGAAATTAGGTGGTTTGATGAGATCTTGGAGAATATTCAATTCAGTAACAAGAGGATATCCATTGTCGAGCATTTCGTCGAGCAGCTAAATATTATTTAAGAAAAAAAGTAGGAGAAGAAGAAGAAATATGAAAAAAACTGACCTCAAAAACCATTACACAGTTCTCCTTAATCGACGTATCCGAGCACTCATCAAAATATTGCGAAAAAGTGTGCACAACTCGATGTAGAAACTCGATAACCATCAAAGGAGGAACTGAAATCTCTATTACACGTAATAAAGAAAAACTATGGGGCCGAGGTTTACACAAACTCAGATAAATCTGAATAATGTAGAATGAAAATGATGAAACAAGAGGGTATTGGCTAGACAGAAGTTTGTTTTGCCGAGTAACATTCCAGCATTCACTAACTATATAGAGGTATAAATCCAAACGTACTTTCTGTTGTTGTAACAGCTAGAAAATATATTTGATTATGATAGACATTAATAAGATAATGATGAGGAGTAGAAAGTACCGGCAAAACGTCCTCAGGTGAAGCAGCCTGCAACAAAGTAGGTTACTGGAAACAACTTAGCAGCAGACCTAAAGGGTATGGCATTTCCTTTAATTGGGCTGCCCTAAGACAACAATAATGACGAGCTTAAACGCTATTTAACAAGCCAGACCAAATAAGTGATTCCGGCAGAGCAGACAAAGAAGTCTGGCTTTTGAATGGCAGCATCAGGCATAAGTTTGTGAATCACCGCCAACTTCTTCTGCAAAAATCGCCAATACACTGCTTCTAACCCAGCAATAATAACTGTAGGTAATCCGAAACGAAACTACTGTCTCTGGCCCTAAAGCGCTCTAACGAAATAAATATACCTGACCAAATGTATC